ATTTTGTGAAGTAGACATGCATGTTTTTTTTGTTTGGTGGCCCAACCGTGGATATACAAAAAAATTAGCGGCCCATCGAAACTGCCCAAAGATTTTCCATGGCCCATCCCAAATCACTCCAGCCCACCCTAGCAGTTACTTTATGACCGGTCCCTAACTATTTCCCGAGGGAACAAACAATCAGTGTTGTTATATAGCGACGAAAGAAAATTCAACAACATTCGTAACAATTGTATTTCATGACAAAAACTCTATAGTGTTTAAACGGTTTGAGTAGCATATCCTGTTGCCTGTTGTGTATTTTTCTTCTCTTTTACATTCTTTATTTTTTTTGTGACACAAAACTTGGAAAATTGTAGTTTACAAACTTGCGGGTTGTGCCGCCATTTTGTTTGTTTATGTACGTAGTCGTTCGGGCGGGCAACAATTTTTCACTTGCTGCCCGGTAAGATACATTTCATTTATCTAAAGCCACGTGACCACAAATCAGCCAGTCACGTTTGGTGTTCATCCTGGCTATAACAATACGTCTATGATTTTGTGTCTCATGAACTCCGTATAGGGACTAGGGAGTACTCCTGTGAAGACAAATTGATTTGACGGCGCGTCATCGGGATACCATGTTGTTGTTTGTAACTTATTGTCGGTGACTTCACAAGTTAAAGTACTGTTTAATAAACGAGCAGGAGTGTTTTATTAGGTTTTATTATAGGTTTAATCGCGCGGCTTTAGACATAATAAAACACGACCTGCGAGTTTATTAAAAGGCTTCAAACACGACTACAAATTCAATAGATATACTGGCTTATTAGTATTCTTTATATAATTAGTATTCTTTATATAAAGAATACTAATGTATTCTTTATATAAAGAATACTAATGTCGTCTTTATATAAAGAATACTAATGTATTCTTTATATAAAGAATGCTAATGTATTCTTTACATAAAGAATACTAATTAGGAGTGTTTTACCAGGTTTAAAGCCACTGCACGTGACATATTATGGTTGACATGATTGGCCAATAAGCTTATGAATTATTAATGAGTGTTTGAAGTATATATAGAGGTAGATTTATTAAGAATTTCACATGGCAGTCCAAAACTGAATTGCGTGATTTACAAATTTAAAAAAAATTAAAATATCTTACATTTAGTAAAAAGTTAGAAAAGTCCTTATGTATCAACGATATAGCCTACACATATAGCAGGAAGAAATGTTTTGTGATATCTATCAGCAAATGTGCGAAAGTTATTAAAAATCTTTTGACCCTATAACAATTTTTTAATGTTTTTAGGAAATCATGCTTCTGCGAACACAAGTGGAAAGGTAATTACCAAGCCTAAAGATAAGACGTCCCGTCATGAATTGCCTATCAATCAACCGCTACAAGATGTCTGTCAAAGTCGTCAATCATCAGAAGAACAGAATTTCGAAAGGCAGTTATCCAATGTGCTTAGTGGTTTAACCAAATCGCAACTGCATATTTTACAAAGTGGTTCTCCAATGGCAAGGGCAAGGTCACGTGGACAGCCACGCTCTGAATCCAGTGCGGGACCGGTTGATTCACCTAACATATGATTGCTGTTGTTGGAGTATATTGAGTATATTTTCAAACTTGGAGGTGGAAGAGAATGCTTGGGAGAATCACTGTGCTGCTCATCAAACAAGTTTCGTTCCTTAGTCCCTTTACTTCTATGTTGATTGTTGGGATATCAGCATTGACTACAAGACACCATAATCAATAATTCTTAATAGGAAATGGAAGTCTTCATAGAACTTCGTCTTCCTATTGTTTTTGTGATAATGCTGTTATGTTTTGATATTTTGTTGGGAAATTTTGCGTCTTCATGTCGCTATTAAGGTACTGAGCCTGTAGTCTGGAGAATAGCAAAAGTCTTCAATAAGAAGAACTTTGCCTTGCTATAATTCAGTAATATATCTAAATTGATCAAGCTATTTTTCTTAGTTGCTCATAGCTGCGCATCGTAAAGTGAACGCGACTTTTGTACGTCGATTTTTGTATCCGTCGCTCTTATTGATCATAAAAAAGGACTGAATAGATTTCCCTATACTGGTTGTCAACAATAAACGCGAGTTATTGTGCTCTCAATATTAATATCATGTAGATCAGCTGTGCACAAGAATTACCCACTGCTGCCCAATGCTGTGACGTGTGACGATTTGACAGCAAGTGGGTTTACTTTGCACGGCCATCGAGGAGATTGAAGCCGAAGTGCCAAGCAAGGTCAGAACGGTGGTAATGATAGAACCCTAGATGAAACCACATAGGCGTAAAGCAGCTGGGGCCGGTTGTTTGAGAGTTAATCACTATTTAACTACAAAATAGTGATTAAAAAAGTGATTAAGAGTTTTATACAACCGGCCCCAGGGCACATGTGGAAATTCAACGAGTTAATATAATTTATTTAACCACTATATAATTTGTGTAGTCGAGAAATGTATCATTCGCACTTCTTTATATGCCCGACAGCAGGTTTAACACGAACGCTGAGAAGAAGCGAGCCCAACTAGCATTGAATTTCCACTTGTGACCAGCTGCTTTACGCCTATGTGGTTTCATCTAGGGTTCTATCATTACCACCGTTCTGACCTTGCTTGGCACTTCGGCTTCAATCTCCTCGATGGCCGTGCAAAATAAACCCACTTGCTGTCGTCGGCAGTATGCCCGACTGTCACCGGCAACACTGTGGAAAAACGTCTGCGCATGCGCGTGTACTAGAAAAAATGGCGTGGAATTTAAATGCCAAATTGTAAACAAAAACATGGCTATTGTATCACAGCATGGACCGGTTTATCCAAACCAATCTTGTTCTTTTGTGATCTCTGATTTATGTGTGCATAACATGTGCACAATTCAGTCCTTTTTTAATATCAGTTTTTGCGGCGTTTAAACGATTTGCTAATTTTGCAAATAGAATCTGTGGTATGATACTGGTGAAACGCTATGAATCCTTTCTAGTATTGTAGACTACTTTTTAAAGGATGTTGAAAGTAAAATATTTCATCTAAATGCCTCAAGGAACGTTTGTAAACAGCAAGTTATTGAGCCACTTTCAAGATATTGCACGTGCGAAAAAGTTCGCCTTTAAAACTGATTTTAACGCATGTTAGTTAGAAATGTTCACACATAAGTCGCAAAACGTGATACGACATGTGTGAAACATCTTGACTAGATATATGCTTTGAAATCAGCTTTTGTTGCTAGTTGTCTTACTTCGACTTTAATGGCACTACGGGCTCTTGATTCGATGTTTCAACACGTCATTTTCAAACAATGGCATACAAAGTCTTTTGAAATATACTCGTGTTCCAAGGTCAGACTAAGAAATGGCTTGAAAATAGTTTATAAACGTTCCAAGGTCCATACTTATGCCGCACGCACCTTAAAAGCACAGTGCAGCCATTTGAATGATGGTTTTTAAGGCGCATTTCAGCCCTTTTAATTAGCCTTTCTCACGATGACGAATATCCGCCATTTTTCGGTGACAGCTAATTCTCGTTTACCAATGCAGACAATTACGCATATTAATTCAAGATCAGTGAACTCAATGTTTTTAACAATAAAAATGTTTTAAAATGTTAAAATGCGCCTTAAAACCATCATTCAAAAGGCTGAACTGTGCTTTTAACTTGTGCAATCTTATAATACTGTCGCTATCTTGAACTGTGATGAATTGTTGTCATGACCATAGAGATTATAAATAACACTAGAGGAGGCATCGAGTTTAAAAATTGGGAACGCAGCTAATGGGGGGGCAAATTCAAGTCCCGGATATAAAATCGTGCTCTCATTGGCTGATTTGAAACTCGTCACCAATGGGAACACGAATACACATCCGGGACTTGAATTTGCCCCCCAATAGTCGCGTTCCCTTTTTTTTACTGAATTAAGATTACAATGCCTCCTCTAGTGTTATTTATAATCTCTATGGTCATGACTCATGGAAACAATGCTTTACGATTTCAAGATGGCGCCGTTATTGTTAAAAACGTCGATTATTACGTCTTTGCGTCTAAACAAATTGTAAAAAAATGTGCAGAGAACGTTGTGTTTAAAATGTTATGTTGAACGATATATATTTTGATATTATAAAGAGAAAATATATTTTTATATAAAATCAAACGCGTATAAAAAGGTGAATTGTGTAATTATAGCAACTTGTTACTCGTGCCAGGCCTTTGGCCGCTGCACGAGTATAAGAACAGGGTCATAGACAGGGTCTTTCCTGGGTACGAGGTTGTCTTTGTGGTTACTTGAGTGTGGGGCAGTTAAACAATGGTGATCGCTAGATAGTATACTTCAGAATAAGGTTTCCGTTTTTAAAACATACAAAAAACTATCCTAACGCAAATCTAAACCCTAATACTAACCCTCATCCTAACCCTAACCTAACACTAACCTAAACCCTAACCTAACCCTAACTTAGTTTAATTATTTTAAAAATTGATATAAAAACGGAAACCTTATTTTGAAGTATACTATCTAGCAATTGCCGTTAAACAATGGGAAATGACCGGCCTGCTTTGCACGCACTGTTTGCCTGCGAATCGGGCCTTTCAGAATCGGTAATCGGGCCGGAGCACGCGTTCGCGTTCTTTTGATTGCCATGGCAAAAGAAGCACCCTGACAAATGGATCGCACGGTGCCCGTTGGCAAAATTCGCACGGTGCCTGTTTGCATTTGATCTCATCCGTGAGTCGGCCTCGACGGCCTTTGACTATTAGCTCAACTCATGTTAGAAGACGGATTTCCGAAACTCGTCCAGATAGAAATTCCATCAACGACGGGTTTTCCGTCTCAACTTTTCCGTCTAATTAACTTTCACACGTCTGAACGACGGGAAAGTTAGACGAGCTTCTTGTTTTAGACGGGAAACTCGTCTTAAATTTATATCAGACGAAGAAATCAACTTGAAGACGGGTTTCAGCTCGTAGGATATTGAAGAGTACTGAAGTATTAAATTTCAACTTTTGACGTCAAATTTGTTATGGTTTTAATAGAAATATATTAAAAATGCGGTGTAACTAGACTTTCACAGCAGGGGCGAAACATATTGTTTGCTAGCTGTAATAAGTTGCTTAATAACTCTACATTTTAACTTTTAAAATTGTACTCATAATTCATTTAATTTTATTGGAATTTTTCGCATTTTGATTGCCCCCCCTCAAGTTTTTCGTCCCCCAAGTTTCGCCCCTGTTCACAGAGGGCTCTTTATAAATTTCATTCAGTTTTTGCAAACTTGTTCCTGTTTGCCAGTTCCACTGCATGCCTGGCACGAGTTAATCCTGCATAGAAATTCAGTATATATTTTATACTGTTATATTAGTTGACGTCGTCGATTTTTCATATCTCACCAGCTATAGATCTTTGGCAACAATGGACCACCGAATAGCCAATTCCAGCTTTTAATATATGCGCGCAGTACATGGGGTGGCGGGAAGTAAGGTATCATATTGCTGATTATGCTGAAAAATTTCAGAAACTGCCGAAACAACCGAAATATTTCAATGGCCTTCAATATTTACAAGTATAAGCTATCACTCCGTGTTTACACGCGGCCACCATTTTTATTTTTTTCAGCATAATCAGCAATATGCTGCCTTACTTCCATTGCTCCCTGCACGCATAAACTAAAAGCTGGAATTGCCTATTGAAATCGTCACTAATTCGGTCTACTCGCTGAAAATTTCACGTTGTTTGGACATTTGGGCGCGAGACGGCGTTTGCAAAATTCTGATTTTTCTAAACATTTGACCCTCTGACATTTGACTGGAGTTTCTGGAAAAACAAAATTTTCAAAATGCCATAACTCGCGTGTACAGGGTGTATAAAAAAGGTAATCCAACTTCAATGAACAATATTTTTTCATAAGGCTCGAAAAAAGCAGGCTTTTAGCTTTTGAATGACATGTTTTTCATATGCAAAGTGAAGAAAAAATAAGCAAGTACGAGTCCGATAAAAAATGTTAGTCAGAATCGCATATTTTCACCTCTGTGCCTAATTAAAGCAGTGATAACAAAAGAAAAAGCAATACACTCTTTCGAAATTACGTCACAACTACGCCTTCCTTGCATTGAAAACACTCAAATTTCAAGGTAACTATGTGTGACGTTTCTAAGAGGGTGGGGTGGGGGGAGGGGGTGTGGAGAGGGTCTCCAGAGAAACGAACATATGACGTTTCTCGTGGACAAAATCAATATGTGAGGCTTCCCTAACATATCATTCAACAGCTAAAAGCCCGATCTTTCCAAATATGAAAAACTCTCGGTCATACAAGAGCAATCAAGTCATCAGATGCAATAGCGCGCTGAAGTTTGATTACCTTTTTTTTATAAACCCTGTATATAATGTAAGGGTAAATAATCTAGATTTTAGGCATCTTGCATGCTCGATAGAATAGGGTGTCAAACGATTTTTCTAGACAGAAATGTAGAAAATTTCGAACATTCATTTTGTAATTTCATGAGATAGCAAAACAGTGACGCTCAGTCTCAGAGCAAATTATGATTACGCGAAATTACTTTGTTTTTAAAAGTGGAGGCATGATTCGTGTTCAAGAATCAAGTATACGCATTCTATATCTTAATATTATTCTATGATATTATATTATTTATGTACAGCTATTTCAAAAAATATTGCCATTCAAAACTCTAAACCTTAAACCTCAAGCCATACAGTGTTTGTCGTATTTAGTCGTACAGCCATCCCAAGATTTATGATGGAAAGCATTCACATTGTGTCTTTGAGGTTAGGGTTAAGCTTCAGACGTTCAGGAATATAAGGTTAACTTTGCTTTTGGATCTTATTCGAATGCAACTACTGTGCAAAACAGTTTCAACTTTCAACATTGTTATACAGTATATAATTTACCCATTCTAAAATCTGTATTATTTCAAAATCATTATGTACACAGCCATTATTGCACAAGTTACAGCAACCATCCAGTGTAATCTTACACCAATTACAGAAGCTGAAATTGAAACAAAAACAAAAAAAATTATGAGTTAAAGTATAAATTCTTGTATTTTAATAGTTCCAAGGAGTTAAATTTTACTTTAAATTGCATAAATTTTTGAAAAAATAGCTATATTATGTACGGATATAAACGGTCCATTGGATGATACTACAAATGCAACTTGTAGAAATAGGACTTGAAGACTGACCTTTATAGAATACACCAAAAAATCCTTTTTTTTCAGACAGGAAAAAACCTTTCAACCTTGGAACTCTTTTCATGTATGCACATGTACATATTACAAGAAGGGAGAAGACAACTATACCATCCAATGAATACACTGGAGAATAGAAATAAATATTAATTATTTAATATAACATAATAAAGTAGGGCACATTAGGGCAGGGCTGCAAATTACTGTCGGACATCGGACAATGTCCGACTAAATTTGGCAAACGTCCGAGCAAAAGGAATTTTGATCGGACATTGGTCCGATCAGGCGATCACAAAAAAAATTGTCACATGTATAAGTGTCAATTTTCTCACTAATTAATAATTGCATTTCTGATGAAGAGATAAGAGGTGAGATGAATGCAAGATGTAATTTGTACGTATTTGTGTAGCAGCTGCATGTCACTCTGTAACATGAAAAGATTGTTAAACATGTGCAAAAAAACACAATGAATACACAGATTTTCATTTATTTCTAATAGAAAAAGAAATTGGTCAATAATCGGCAAATGGCCAATTATACCGAAATAATCGGCCGATTACCGATTATTAAAAATTGGCCGATTATCGGCAAATTAATCAGCTTGGCCGATTAATCGGCACATCCCTACAATGAAGGCAATCTGACACCATTGCTGAGCCAATTAAATTTCATCTAACATCATTTGCATTATAAACTGTTAATAAGCCCCGTTTACACGAGCAATTTTTATGTGACAATTTTGATGTGACAATTTTTATTTGCTTGTGTAGACGAGGAAAATTGGGCAATTTTTGTGTGGCAAATACAGTTGCTGAAAAGCTAGCGTGTTAGCTTTTATATGACAAATAAAAGTTGTCACATACGAAAAATTGCTCGTGTAGATTACTTGTCACATAAAATGTCATATTTTTTCTCCCGCCATATTTGTAAAAGTATAATTAGTGTCAGCGCCATGTTTTATTGCGCTGTTCATAGATATTTTTTAAACAGGAATCAAGTGCATCAACAATTATTTGTTGTCTTATCTACACGACCAAATACATTTCTCACATAAAAATATGAAAAATTGTCACATAAAAATTGGTCGTGTAAACGGGGCTTTAACTGTGGCTAAAATTGACTTGTGTATTCATCACATTATAAAGTGTTTATCCGCTATTGATGTGATTAACCCACTGAGTCTCATTGCTAGCATATTATACTACCCTGTCTAATGACAGACGATTTTACTCGTCAAGGGGAGAGTGTCTACTGTGTCTATTCAATCTCATAATTTTATCAGTCTTTTTTGTATTTAAAATCATAATAAATTAAATTGTTTTACTATTTTGTATTAACGTGATGCCTGTTTGAACCATTTAAATGAAGATTATGACTAATTTATTTATGGCATACATTGTATCGAGAAATGCACGATACACAACTTGCCACGTACAACTTTCTGCAAGGTCGTCGTCTGTCGAAATACTACAGTACAGTATTTGTAAAAAGCAATCATTAGCCTAAAATCACTATATCTTACCGTTTGTCATTTTATCCTGTCATTTTTAACGTCGATTACAAAATACAAAGAATTAAGTACAGTCCAAAACAGAATAAGTTCAAAAATATTTCCAGTCGACACAACAAAACAAATATGGCGGAACACCTGATTTGCGGGTAAGGCCAGTGTAAGGCTCACTGTTGTTGTGGCAGAGAGGGGGCTCAGTTGCTTTCGGGTTCTGTTCCCGATATATCTAACGGCTTTTAAACTGTAATTATAAGAAAATCACTTCTGAAATATACTTATGCGTTTTTTTAAGACCCTTAAGCATTAATTAAGTATTTTTTGGTTGTAAACGGTCACTGTAAATAGAATGTAGTCTAGTTGCCTCCCCACCCCTCTCCCAGTTGGGTATTTCATTGAATTATACATGCTTGTTACACGTGATAGAAGACTGGTGTCTACATCTTCCCACTCGTTGGGTTCTCAAGCAACAAAAATTTGCTCAATGCATCTCAGAAATTTCGAATTTTCTTACTTATGTCATTGTCCGTTCTTTTGGAAAAGGAAACGAAGGATAGATAAGAATTATCGGTTATTGGTTACCTAACAAAAGCGGGTGAAAACAGCGCGAAATCGCCGAAATTTACTTTAAATTGGAAGCAGTACCTGACTGCCATTGATATCGTTCATTGATAAAGTAACACAATAATAAAGTGTCCATTCATTGTTTCGTCATGCCGAAAGGTGGGCGAAGAAGTACACAGAAGAAAGGACAGAAAGGTGAGCTATCTGTTTTGATTTAAAGCTGTAAATAGGTGGATATATTTTGAGTGAAGGCCATGTTATATTATTTCGTGTTTATGTTTATATTGTTATATGTGGTCATAGCTAGAGTAAAAATTTTTGAACGTGCGTGTCGTGTCTGTTTGCACGATTTCGTGTCTTCAGAAAACGAACTCGTCAAAACACACGTGAATACAAAATAATCATTACTTGATCATAAATTTACAATATTTTTGCCAAAACTGAATATTTGACAGAAGTCACAGAACTATTATTATCTTTCTTTATATTTAGTCAGAATATAATCTTGAACATGCAGTCTGTGCCAGTGTAGGTAGTGCCAATATTATAAATAGGAAGCTTCAACTTGATAGGGATGCAACTATCTGAAAATACAAGGAGAACTTCGACAGTTCAAGCGAAGGCCCTTTGTCGGGAAGTTAGTAGCAGGCCTTCATAGGAAGATAGTACCGCTACTAACGTCCCCACAAAGGGTCTTCATCAACCCTCGAAATTCGCCTCGGCACTCGGCAATTGCCGACGCAAATGCCGAGGCAAGTTACGATTTTTCATAGTTTGCCTCGGCAAAAAAATGCCGAGGCAATTCCACCCGCTGTTCCTTAACTTACAAACTACAGTTTCTGTTCGTTTTTTTCTTCTTAAATATACAAACTACAGTGTTAGTTTTTTGTATCACTTCTTTGTTCGAATTGTTGTCATCGACGTTGGGTGGACAACAGAAGATTTCATTCATAGCTACTTTACAAAATATTTAAATTTGAGCTTTTCATGCAGCGTCGGCTTCGGTTGAAATAAAGAACAATCTTGATGGTTTAAAGACGGTACGTCGAGAAACTTTGTTTTATCTTTTAGACTGTCGCGTGATTTTACCGTCAAGTTTATTCTTTCATACAATTGGTTGTAAATTACCACTAACTTTTTAAAAACATTTTGAATCGGGAATTTGTAAAATAACAACAAATTGTCGAACGTCAGAAGTCTCAGAATCTACGCTCGTTACAATATTTGTTTACAATAATTTCCGTATGTACTTTACTTTAATTACAACTGCCGACGTGAATGCCGAAGGGTGCCGAAGTAATTGCCGAAGGAATTTAAGGTGATTTCATTGCGTGCCTCGGCAAAAAAAATTGCCGAGGCAAACTCGAAAAATTATCGAAAGGCTTCGGCAATTATTTGCCGAGGCAAAAATAGTTGAATTTCGAGGGTTGCTTCATTAATACCAACGTTTCAAATGAATGCCCTTCGTTGGGAAGATAGTACCACAGGCTACTAACATCCCCACAAAGGATCTTCATTAGTACCAACGTTTCAAATGAAGGCCATTTGTCGGGAAATTAGTAGCAGGGCTTCGTTAGGAAGATAGTACCGCTACTAACGTCCCCACAAAGGGTCTTCATTAATACCAATGTTTCAAGTGAAGGCCCTTTGTCGGGAAGTTAGTAGCGAGCCTTTGTTGGGAAGATAGTACTGCTACTAACTTTCTGACAAACAACTTCTATTTGCCAAGTAGTAGCAACCCTCGAAATTTGCCTCCGCACTCAGCAATTGCCGACGCAAATGCCGAGGTAAGTTTTTCATAGTTTGCTTCGGCAAAAGAATGCCGAGGCAATTCCACCCGTTGTACCTTAAATTACAAACTACAGCGTCTGTTCGTGTTTTTTTTTTTGCTTAAATTTACAAACTACAGTGTTTGTTTTCTGTATCACTTCTTTGTTCGAATTGTTGTCATCGACGTGGGGTGAACAACTGAAGATTTCATTCATAGCTACTTTACAAAATATTTAAATTTGAGCTTTTCAGCGTCGGCTTCGGCTGAAATAAAGAACAATCTTGATGGTTTAACGAGAAACTTTGTTTTATCTTTTAGACTGCCGTGTGATTACTGTCAGGTTTATTCTTTCATACAATTTGTTGTTAATTACCACTATCTTTTTAAAAACATTTTGAATCAGGAATTTGTAAAATAACAAATTGTCAACCGTCAGAATCTACGCTCGTTATAGTACTTGTTTACAATAATTTCCGTATGTACTTTACTTTAATTACAACTGCCGACGTGAATGCTGAAGGGTGCCGAAGTAATTGCCGAAGGAATTTAAGATGATGTCATTGCGTGCCTTGGCAAACTCGGAAATTATCGAAAGACTTCGGCAATTATTTGCCGAGGCAAAAATAGTTGAATTTCGAGGGTTGAGTAGTTGCATCCCTATCAATCCGAAGCATTCTTTTTAAATAGTCTGGATACCTACATCACTGTAAGTGTTTTAGTTTAGTGACTACCGTATTTTAATACTTGTTTAATTAATAAGCACCATCCCCCAATTAATTGATCATGTTGCCCAACTAAGCATCTCATATGAGAGCAAAAATTTTTAAAGATTAACCCATTGAGCCGCAATGTGCCCCAGTGCGCCCTACTTTTTTTTACTTGTCTAACGCCAGACGATTTTAATCATCAATGGGGAAGCTCTGCTGCTTAATGGGTTAATTAACCAAAAAATGGGTTAATTAACCAATGTCTCTAGTTAACCCATTGAGTCGCAATGTGCCCCAGTGCGCCCTACTTATTTTTTTTTACTTGTCTTATTATATGATTCCACCCCATTCCGTAATTTTTTTTGAAAAATTTGATTCACAAAAAAATAAAATTTTCGATTCGCAAATGCCAAAACTCGGCTCAGAAATTGCGATTTGCGACCTGCTAATTCGAACCCTGTTGTTACTAACATCTCATGTTATTGTTTACAAAGATCACCACTCTCGAATAAGTGCTGCCCTCAATATTAGTCCCACAGCATTTAAATGAGTAAATATGGTATATCGAACAGTCTGTGCCCATGTATGTAGCGACAATAACAGTTGCGGATTGAAAGAATACAACTACTTGAAAAATACAGGCAGAACTTCAACGTTTTAGACGAAGGCCCTTCATTTACTAACTTCCTGACGAAAGGCCTTCACTTGAAATGTTGAAGTTCTGCTTGTGCTGTCCAAATATGGTATATGTATATTTAGGGTATATGTTTATATGTTAGTTGTTAGCAACTTGACTTTTGTCTTGTGGTTGTTTTGATTATCCTGGTATCCGGGGTCTGCTTGTTAGTGAGTGTTTAGGCCCTGTAAAAAATATCCCCGGTTTATCATCAGTAGCAGTAATAAGATCCATGTAGGTGGATTTAAAAAAAATATCCCGAATCATATTTAGTACTGAATATGTTCAAATAACACAGCACAATTGTGTGGAATAACATTTTTGAAAGCTATTAATTTGCACTTTTCACCTTCCGCCAAGAATTCCAGCCATGAAACAAGTATTAGACATGCTTATAGAAAATCGGAACGGTATAAATGATAACAGTCAATTGCAAAAGTGGTTGACAGAATACAAGTTATTGATTACTGCTTGGGTTAATTTAACTCACTGGGTTAACTACACCATAATCATTCATTGTCAAGAAAAGTTGGGTTGTTGCAAGTTTTTTGATGAAAGACAAAACAGCAATTTTTATTTCATAAAAATATTTAAAAATTCCATGCGGCACGAAAAACAGATGTGGGCGCTGATGATAGACCGAGATATTTTTACATGGCCTTATACAGAGTTCAAACTAGCTGCCAGTGATAGCCAGCAGTTTCAGAATCTTGCTAGAAATTTTTAATTTCAAAAAGTATGACTCAAGTTTAAATTTCAGTGAAATTGATTTCAGTGAAATTGGTTTTTATTTCTGTGTAATTATAATAATTAAATCATAAGTGTGTATTACAAATTTGCTATCAAAACATTCAGGAATTAATGCAACACATGGGTTTAAGTCCAGGGAAAAGCAACTTTGCTCCTGAGCTTGGAAGACAGCTGGCAAGAATTTAAACCTACACTAAAATTAGCCACTTTTTAAACATCATTTCGAACCCTGTTTACAGTGAAAATTTTCTCCTAACTGCTAAGATTTTGCCTGTTTCGAATGAGATCTTGATAACCGTATTTTGAACTGGTCGTACTTAAGAGCGCTTTCAAACATATTGCCCTTCCTGTGCTTCCCTCACTTTTCCTGCCTGCAACTGAATGCCAGCTATATGCAGGCTAGACCATCCCTAGAAAATTTGGAGGGATGGTGGAAGTTCAAATCTCGACACACGAGAATTTGTTGATGTTCAACTGTCTTAAGTGGTTAGCCCCCTCCGAAATATGCAGACTATTCAATTTCTGTCGTAGTGTACATTCTCTGAATACTAGTTCTTCCAACGTTAATTTAGAAACAGATAAGTCTAAATAAACTCTTCTATAGTGCAGCTATGCTCTTTGATTCCTGACCCATGTTGTAGTGCAATTTGCGTGTGTTGCAAATACTCAGTAAGTTGTAATTGTTACTGTGTGTCGATGTAATATTTGTATTAGTGTAATGTATTAAATGTTTTATTGTAAATATATTTAATAACCTTCTTTAAGGGCCATTGGGAAGAATACTGTTACCAGTAACAATGTTGAAGTTTACCTTTCTTAAATGAAGTTCAATAATTTGTACTCCTGTCATCGAGGCCAAGCGCGTCTCCCTTGCTAAGGCCTCCAGTGAGAAAAACCTGCAGATCCTCAAGCCTGCCAGGAAAATGATTCAGTAAACTGTCAGACGCTGTGCTAAAGAGTACTAGACACAAATTAGTGAAGACATCTGACATCCAGTCAGATGCTATTACAGGCAATATCGTAGGAATGTATGACGGCATCAAGAAAGCATTTTGGCCAGTCCAAAGCAAGACAGCTTCCCCCAAGTCCTCCACAGCTCCACTGGAGAGACAGTCACTGACAAAGTACAGTAGATGGGTGCAGCACTACTCTGGCCTCTACTCCAGACAGAACGTCATGTCCCCTTTATCCCGTGACACTATTGAGTACCTGCCAACTATGGACAAACTAAACGCTGAGCCAACTCTAGAGGAGCTCAGCAAGATCCCTCCAGACCTAACCAAGCACTGCAAGATCACTCTCTGCTTCCACTACCTGAGGTCCAGTGTAAGTGCTGGCAAGAAGGAGCTGTACCACAGTATATGAGAGACGCCAAGATCATCAACCTCTACAATGACAAGGGTGAGAGAAGCCACTGTAACAACGACGGAGCTTTGTCTTAAACCCCTGCAGAAGCTGGCCAAACGCATCTAACCAGAATCACAGATATGCTTCCGAACAGAGAGGTAGACATGGTCTTCTCCCTCCGGCAACTTGAGGAGAAATGCGGGGAACAGCAGATGCCTGCGTACGTTGTTTTCATCGACCCGACGAAGGTGTTCAATCTGGCGTCCACAACAATTTGAAGGGGATAGCCGTGCAGTTTAATGATGGCAGCTCCCCCGATTTTCATTTGCACTGGAAAAAAAATGTGAAATCCATACTACGAAATTTGCAATTGCACCACTAATATCCATAGTCTATCCATCCTATTTCCATACTACTATATCCATACTATGGAACTATACAATTATTATGGATAAGCAAAATCCATTCTATTTCCAATAAAGGTCCATACAATTTCCATTCTATGACCTTCTATGGATTTTCATTTTTTTTTCCAGTGTTGAGCAAAGGAATATTGCTTAGCCTTAGGTCTGTCCGTACCGGAAAAGATTTTCCCTTGATAATTAAACAGTATAATTATTATAAAATAAATTATACTTGTGTTTCAACCTCGTGTTTGCTGAATGGTTTTTAAGTGTGATCTTTTCATGCGTCATTGCAGGAAAACGAGTTGAAGAAGGAGTGAGTGAGAGCTTTGAAAATCAAAGTGTTGCTTCAAGTCAGGGTTCATTTGAGACACAAAGTAACCCTGCTGATGATGCAGAAAGCACTGATGGTATGTATTGAATGATATATACATATAGATTACTTAATCGTAGCGAGTGCGTAAAATGTTCATTTGCGCGTTACATATGGAGAATCGTTTTATTTGTTTAGAGATCAAGTAATCAGGGGCGTAAATGCGGTGGCGGGGGGGTTAGAGTGGTGTGACACCCCCCTACAAAATTGCTGTTTTCGAACATTGGGGGGGGGGGTCACACCCCTCTAACCCCCCAAATACTCAATAATTTGTAGGTTAACATGTTGAGTAAGAACAAAAAATCTAGAAGACAAGTATGAGCGATTTAAAAAAATTGCTAATCTAATATACGCCATTTACTGACCATCACAATTTTGTAAAATTCTCCCGCAAAGGGCATGAAATCACAGAAATGGCACTTCAGAGACTCTAAATTTCAAAATTTTCTTGGAGACCATGCCCCATATACCCCCTAGGGTTCTCACGCTTTTGGCACTGAAAAGATGTGCCGTTGCATGCCCTGCAGGCCTGAGAACGAGGATGGTGCATCCGACGCTACCCCAGAGGACCCTCATCAACTTTTTAAATTCCTCCCAGCATCTTTATGTTACTTTCTGATAATATAGCAAATAATATAATTAAAAATTGTACAGTAAATTCGCTTGTTCCATCATATTTAACTAAAGTATTCTGAGTATTTTCTCGTGAGCTCACAAATCAGTTAAATTAATACACGCTAACAGTAGAAGTCAGTCCACTGAATGCATGGTCAAGCAGATTTTTTTAGAGTGGTGCTGGACTTCCCTAGGGGGATGCTAGTCACCACTAGGTGGGGTGCACACCCCCTGCACTCCCGCAGTAGATCTGCCGCTGACCAGGTCATCAAAACGCCAACACTATAATTCTCCACATTGGAGAAAAATCATCTAACGAATCAAAACGCTGAGACAGTAATTTCCCCTAATTTCAACAGACGCGAAAATTGTGGGATGAGATGAGATGGTCGTGGGATGAGATTTTTATTTCATAGAGAATAATACATGGGTGCGCGGAAATACCAGATTTATTTTCAGTGTTGAACATGATATCTCACGAGTGAGCGCAGCGAACAAGTGAGATATCATGTTCAACACGAGAAAAACAATAAAACGTCCGTGGCAATGCGTTTTACAACAAATGATATTTTCACACGTAAAAATATCGTATTTTTTACGTGTGTTTAAATACGATTTTTCTCAGTGGCCAAAAACTCTATATAACACTCATGTTTATATAATAAACTTATTTATTGCACAGAAATTTCCATACTTACATATTGACAATGGTTTCCGTACAAGATATTAAGATTTATATGTTTTCTTGTTCAGAATTAGGTATGGAGGCAGAAGAGGTGGAAACAAACTTTGAACAAGTGTTAGAAGAGAACATTGAAGGCGCCAGTGAAAAGAAGTAATTAAGATTCCTTTTTTAGTGAATTTTCATTTTAATTCTGTAAAGCTTGAAGTCCTAATGCGACCTTCTTTAACGCCGAACGACTTTTTAAGGGGAAATGCTAGCGCTAAATGGGTTAATATTGCTGTTTATTATATAGTAGAGAGTGAGATACTGAAAAATACACAGTGCATGAGATATTTTCCATATCTTCACTAGTGAAGATATCGATCACGTGACTTTTTCCAATTTGCTTTTGAGCGTGAAATTTCACAATTTTTTGCTTGGGACTATATAATAAACAGAACATTACACGGTGGCTTGAAGATATGACTTTTATCTTCTCGTGTTAAAAACAATATTTTACTTACTCTCTGCCGCACCCGTTCGTAAAATATTGTTTTCATGCGCCACTCCAAGATAAAAGTCATATCTTCGCGCCGCCGTGTAATATCCTCAATATCTCATTCTTACGCTTTATCTTACTCTTTCTGACGGCAAACTTCAATACCCTTATACAGGTTGTATAAAAAAGTGCACAGTTTACACATGCATGCTTGGGTAGTGTGGGGTCTGCTAGTATCTTTACCACTAAAATTATTTTGAAAAGTAAATTTTCGGGTGCAGGAGGGTTGTTAAAAAAAAACTTTAGAAATGGCTTGCGCACAAAAATGGAAGGTTTACTGTAAAACGCAATTTAAATTCATATAGGTTGCAAATTTAAAAGGTATTTTATGAACTATCAAAGTATCATTCTTGTCTCCCTGTTTTTCTCAAATTTTGAGTTTCAAGATAGATCTTTGATTTGCAACAGATTTTGGGTTAACACTGATAGTATAAAACTTTATGTGATTAAATGACAAGCTTTACTGTATGGTAGTATAAGTTTTGTTTCGTATTGTATATATTTTTGTGTTTAACGTTGTAACTTTAAAACAAAACTTTCTACTTAGTGCAAAACTACGTCAGACCTCTATGAAAGCCATCAGTGGAACGTTTGCCAAACACCTCATTGCCGATCTTGTTGCAGAAAGGTACAGATACTGTTTTCTGAGAATACTAATTGAGTGTTTCTATCATGAGTGATATCTTGACACTTTTAGTTTTTTACAAAAAAAATATTGTTAAGTTTTGATGGACAGTATTAGTATCACAATTCCATATTTACTTCCATATTTGTATAGGTAAATTCTGAGTTTTGAAGGATTTGTAAGAACTGTTTGAGGGAACTGACTCAGTATTAAACATGAACCAGTTCCCTCAAACATTTCCTACGATTCCTTCAAAACTTTGCTTAGAGAAAGTTGTTTAGTATTTATTTAGTAATTATTACCAGTTGTTATCATCTTTTATGAAGGTGTTCTGTGCAGTAACCGTTGTTCCCTGTGTATCCCATCAATTTGCTTCTGACTAATCTGTATCTCATCTAAGCTTAATTCAGCCCACAGGAGATATATTTGTGATTTTATCAGCAAGTATAAAAAATATAGAGAATGGCTGCCTAGAAGGTTGTTGTGTAAAGCATTGACTCCATGTAAATCTTTATTTTCGTTTTATTTACAGAAAAGATACAATTGTCGACATCATAGAGCGGTCTTTGAAAAGAGGTTTGTGCCATTCGCGATTTTTGGTCTTAGCATAAATATTATGAAGAAAAGAAAAGGTTTTTCTCGAAATTACTTTCAAGTATTTCTGTATATACAGTCGAACCTAGGCTTATGAAGCGGTCACCTTCGGGGATTTCGCAAGTGACCGCTTACAGTCGATTTCACGAAACTTTGACCACAAATGTTCCGAACTTCGTTGCGAAGTTCGCAAGTTCGTTGCGAAATTCGGAAGTTCATATTGGAATTCACAAGCCAATTTGTAAACAATTAAAGTCCCTGATTGGTCACCGAAGTAAGAGAAGCCAATCAAATGCGTAGTTTACAAACTGGTTTGTGAATCTCATTATGAACTTTTGAACTTCGCAAGTACTTAACCTATTCGGAGTCATCCTTCGATTCAGAGAAAAGTTAGAAAACAAAGTGGCGAGGTATGCAGATATCTCTTTCACTCCACTCGAAGATCAGCACGTCCACAGATTTCTATGGAGGAACATGGAGACAAACAGACCATTCAATTGCAACGAATTTGCGAACTTCGCAACGAAGTTCGGAACATTTGTGGTCAAAGTTTCGTGAAATCGACTGTAATGCTACCCTGAGAGCCGAGCCTGATTTCCCCTCGCGTAGAACTGTAATACAGGTCTTGTAGAAAATCACCACACGGCTTAAATTGCTTCATACGTCCACACAAACTGAATATACTCTTGACACTTTCAGTGATTATGGAAGTTCGAGTAATGAGATAAACAAAACTTAAAGACTTTGACATGTTGCCGAATAAAGATTTAATTATATATTGTATCATGTTTGCCGTATAGTTACTTTGCAGTTTGCACTGACCATTTAATACAGTTTCAAACAATGAAAAATTAAGTTTGGGACCGTGGAAAAGGTGACCGCGTCCGCTTAATAGATGTGATCGTTCAATAAAGGTCACTTAAACAGTATTTATATTATGAAATTTTCGGGATTATGCCACAAGAGCGCTTAAGAAAGGGTGACCGCTTAATACGGTGCCGCTTAATGCAGGTTCGACTGTATAGTTTGTATAGCTGCATGATTTATTCACTGACTCCTTCATGTAATTGTCCCTAATTGAAATTAGGCCAGACAGAAGACCAAGTGTGCGCTGGTCCTTTGGCAGTATTGTTATGTGTCCAGTTGGGATATGGCTCGGATAGTGAACGTATTTTTAAATTGCTAAAGTCACCTCTATTGGCCACGTTACATGACCCGACTGCAAGAGTTCCAGCTAGAGCTAGTGTAAGTGAAATCCCTTTATGATTGTCGTGAATGTTGAATTACTGCATGTTTGTGTGAGTTAATAGTTTAGAATAACTCAATCATATCTTTGCTTCAAGTGCATGTGAAAGTAATGGTCTGGAATAGATGACTTGCACTAAAACTCTGTAAGTCATGTAGGGGTGCACCGGATTTCAAATCCGGCCGGAATTCCGGCCGGATTTGGAGAAAATCCGGCCGGATTTAAATTTCTGTTTTCACCTTAAAAAATTCACCAAGAATGGGATAAACCATCAATTTGGCAGCTTTAAAGTTTAAAAAACACTTATACTACTATAAAATATTAAGTTATTAACAAAAATCTAAACTGACACTAACTAAAAATAGTAAAAAACATAAACCGCCATTTTGAATACTGAATTATCCCAATTTATCCCCCAATTGTCCCCATTACCGGTTTGTCTCAAATCCGGCAAATCCGGCCGGAATTTTTGTCCAAATCCGGTAAATCCGGTTCCGGCCGGATTTGAAAATTCCAAATCCGGTGCACCCCTAAAGTCATGTGATCTGAATCCTCCTAAAACAGCCTTTAGCGAGCTCAAGATGTACCAAATCCGCGACGCGGACGCGACAAAAAAACAGTCGCTAATAATTGGAGACTAGTTTTACTTTGTTTTTGTTGTGTCTGCATGGCTTTGTTTACCAACAGCCATCCATTATAGTTTTTACCCGTGAAGTGAAACTGTGTTAATAGCGACAGTTTTTCGTCACGTCCGCGTCGTAGATTTGGTGTATAGGATTCATAACTTATAATAGGCATGCAGGGGTACTTTATAGATGTAATATCTCAGAGTTTTGGTGTACTAAGCTTGCAATGTTTTCGAGAAAATGTGACACTTTAACCGGTCACGTGACTAAACTTAAATGTTTGATACGTAAAATGTAAAGAATTTTTTAAACTGAAACCTCAACAAACATGTCAACAGACGGTCAGATATCACGTCTGACAAGTTTTAAAAGAATCGAATATTTTAGCATTTTTGTTTTTGGCCGCCATGTTGGATGACTTGCAGGCTGTTGGATGACTTGCAGACCGAATACGGTCACATGACTGTTCAGGCTGCCCGTACTCAAAAGTAGGGTCAGCCAGGTCCAGAACAGTCATGTGGCCGTGTTCGGTTCGATTCTATTAGTGTTCCGAAACAGTAAATGGAGCATCCTGCTGGATTTGTCATCAACATGGCAGCCATGAACAAAAAGTACATTTAAATACTTGTAAAGTCACCGTTCTTCCTAAAATTCGGCACGAACTTTATAAACCCGTTTGCTTGCATATTTCCTTAGGTTTCGTAAAAAATATTGGGATGGAAGAAGATTTTGTGGGTGCATAAAACTTTTATATTAGTCACGTGACCAGTTGCAATATTCTCTTTTTTTCTCAGCCAATGTCAGTTTTGGGAAACCAAGATTTCAGAAATACAAATAAAATTTCAGAAATACAATTAAGATTTCAGAAATATTTTACCTCACCTGTCGTTTTGACCGACCACTTACGCCTGTATTCTAAAAGCTCACTCACCCTCAAAGAGTGGAGGTTCAATCTGAGCTTCCCTTGAGTGTCAATGTTGTTTTTGGACCAGGAACTGGTCCCCAATCGCTGCTAATCTTGTTGTTGTTGTTGTTGTTGTTGTTGTTAGGGGGCGACGCTCTTTGAAAAAACCCTGAGGCTCCGTCGTTTCTTGTTCGATCGGAATGAAACTTGACAAAATTATTCTAAGCAATATTCCGCATCGATTGACGGTGTTCGATTTTTCATTTTTGACTTTAGAAGCGAAATATGAGCAATTTTTTACTGTATTCGTAGCAATTAATATATACATATCATTAATATTCAGCAAATATATCAGCAAACGCAAATGTACGAAAGACATTGTCTTTTCTATTGTTCGTTGTGAACACAATCACAATAGTCTAAAGCTTCTCAAGAATGTGGACGACTAATTATAACGATTAATTATAACCATTAAGACTTAAGTTGACTAATTTAACACGCTGGCTTAGTTTCTCAAAGCGCAGAGGAGTACTACACAGTACTCCTATCCATAAAAACAAAGACATGACATGTTTTTAGCACAAGCATGCAGTTATGAAGCATTACCAAGCGAAATGATCTGCATTAACCTATAGCAACAATTCAGATAAATTGTTACCTTAACTTAAGTCCCGTTTACATGGCACGTACACGACTGCAGCTGCAATATTTTGCAATGGCACGCACGGCACAATTTGTTACGACAAAAGTTAAATTTAGGCACGGTATGTTTAGTCTTAATCTATCTAATTCGAATGCGAGTATATACTTTTGAAAACTGCGCATTTAGTTATCTATGCTTTGTCCAAATTTACACTCATTTACACACGGCATGACTAGATCAAACACATATTTTGCCCGGATAAAGTATATCTTGCATGCATGACCAAATTAAAGCAAAACATTTAGCGAACTCAGTCTACGCTGCCTTGAGAATAATTTGTAGTTTTAGAAGTGTCTAGTTATTTGTTTATCAAGTCAAAGCTGAGTCTCGAAGGTTTTGAACATTTAATTACGATTTGCACAAGATCGAAACTGAGTCACGCAGTTCCTGGTCCACTATAGTACGATCGTACTTGTTGAATAGCTAGAAGGTTACGCCTGTATTCTGAAAGCTCACTCACACTCAAAGAGTGGAGGTTCAATCTGAGTTTTTCTTGAGCGTCAGTGCTGTTTTTGAATAGCTGGAGGATGAGTAGCCACAGAGTAATTTACAACACTAACCCGTCAGCTATTCAAAAACAGCATTGACACTCAAGAGAAGCTCAGATTGAACCTCCACTCTTTGAGTGTGAGTGAGCTTGTAGAACACGGGCGTTAGTCTCGTACCTTACTATGTGACTACTCACCCTGCAGCTATTCAAAAACAGCATTGACACTCAAGAGAAGCTCAGATTGAACCTCCACTCTTTGAGTGTGAGTGAGCTTGTAGAACACGGGCGTTAGTCTCGTACCTTACTATGTGACTACTCACCCTGCAGCTATTCAAAAACAGCATTGACACTCAAGAGAAGCTCAGATTGAACCTCCACTCTTTGAGTGTGAGTGAGCTTGTAGAACACGGGCGTTAGTCTCGTACCTTACTATGTGACTACTCACCCTGCAGCTATTCAAAAACAGCATTGACACTCAAGAGAAGCTCAGATTGAACCTCCACTCTTTGAGTGTGAGTGAGCTTGTAGAACACGGGCGTTAGTCTCGTACCTTACTATGTGACTACTCACCCTGCAGCTATTCAAAAACAGCATTGACACTCAAGAGAAGCTCAGATTGAACCTCCACTCTTTGAGTGTGAGTGAGCTTGTAGAACACGGGCGTTAGTCTCGTACCTTACTATGTGACTACTCACCCTGCAGCTATTCAAAAACAGCATTGACACTCAAGAGAAGCTCAGATTGAACCTCCACTC